CTTCAGAATTGAAGGGGCTATGTAATTTTGTGTCAACATCTCTTTTTTAACATTTTTAATTTTTTTTTCTTTGCATACAAGAGAGCTGTTATTTACCAATTATTTATTTTCGTTGGATTATACATGGTTTTCGTAAGTTAACGCATTTAACTTTCAGTTTCGCTTTTTCGGCGTAAAGTATGATATTTTTACTCTACACATATGCCCGAATACGCATCATAAGTGACCTATGTGCCTCCTAAGTTGCCATTTTTTCATTCAAATAGATGTAACTGAAATGTTTGATGTGCACTATACTACTTTCATGTCATTGCTTTATTTATTTTTTGAAAAAAGAAAATACCATAATTAATTTGGGCGAACAGAGAAAATATACATCAATATTTGGGTCAACATCTCCCTGATTATATAACGGATGAATATATTAGTATTTCTGTATCAAAAAACTTAGCTTTTGTCTTCAGAGATACACTGATTCTAGTCCAAGGCAATTTGTTTTATTGAAAAGACAAAAAAACAAAAAAATAAAAATAAAAAAAAAAAACAACTGAAATGTTAGACATACTATTTTCATGTCTTTCTATATGTATCAATAGGTACATCTTGCTTAACTTACGAACGTTGAATGCAAATAAACTTTATTGAAAAAAAAAAAATAACGTCATTAATTTGGGGAAACATGTGGCTAATTACATGAAGGAGGTATATTCCAGTATTTTTGTTTAACATATTAACTCACGAGAAAATGTTTGTACATTTATCATCTAGTACTAATTATTTTTTGATGATTGGTCTAAAACATTCAATACAACCATTAAAAGTTAACTCCCATCGCCGGGTATCGAACTCCCGATCACCTATTGCCCGCACCTTATCAAAAAAATGGGGCGCCCCAGTCAACTAGGCTATCACGGGACCGCGACACAATGAGAAAAAATAGCATTTAAAAGACTCGGACGATGGGCGGGACTTATCACAAGAGTTGTCCTTGAGCGATTCGCGTCTTCGAAGCCTCTGAGATATGAGAAAAAGAGCTAACTGCCTTTCTCTGTGAGACATTGTTTGCCTATGCTATCATGTGTCTCGAGTTTCATCCCAGAATGCATTCGCGATCGCGGCAGTAAGCTGAGGCAATATTTCTGTATTCATGGAATAAATCAATCAGTCGACTTCCAATTTTGGCTCATATATCCGTAACGGGTCCTCCAGAGCAGTTTTCCACCTTGCACAATAGTTATAATTTCTTTATTTCTATTTGTAAAATTTGAGGTGGGATAATGGCGGCTTCTCAAGAGCAACGAGGTAGGCGATCTTTTGCACCAACGAACAGAAAACAGATGGCGAAAAATAACCAATGAAAACCTCCCAAAAAAAAGAATTTGCCCAAAAACGGAACTTCGTGGATCTGCGCAGATTTACCAGTCAGACACGACATCTCAAGGTGGAAAAAAACTCGCTGCATGAAAGCGAATTTTAGCAATCAACACAACTTGACGTAGAGACATGATTGGCTAAAAAATACAACGGTTTTTGATACATCGGAAAATCAACCAAAAATCGGAGACTGGGCGAAACGCTCAAGGTCGCAGAGGTATAGGGAATCCCATAGCGAAAGCAACGGAACGATTCTAATATCATGGGGAACTCCGTTCCCATGACAATTACGAGCTGTAACCAGGATCCCATCCCAGTACCTTCCGCCTGCGAGGCGAGCGCGCTACCGTTTGGCCATGCGGTACTGATAAGGATGGAGAGCCTCTATCACCTACGTCTACCTTGTGCCGCTAGCGCACGCGTTTTTTCCGCATCTTTAGCCCCTTTTTTGAGGGCTTTCCCGACCCCATTCGAAAAAACGAAAAAACACGGCATCCCTAAAATCATCTCTAGTATCTTCATGCAAAATTTCAACTCGAAATTCCGGTTACACTTGGGAAGCTCCCCTTGTGAGAATTTTTTCATGCAGGAGCAATGAATTATGTTGTCTGAAATTAGGAAAATAATCAGAATTTCAATCGAAGTTAGAATATTTGACTATTTCCCTAGGTATTTGACAAAATGCCTGATTTTACTATTTGCCTGCGACATAGAAAAAGAAGACGAAAGAGACCTCCATATCTCTTTTTCAGCGGTGCAATTTTGGAAATGGATCCTTGCAAGGGGTATCAATGACGTGTCACAGCAACAATTACAAAATACGGAAGAAAATATTCCATGATTTTGACAATATGAGGTTTTGAGGTAGGTGCGTACCTGCCTTATTTACAAAATTGGGAATGCAGGTATTTTCTTTCGTAATTTGTAATTTTTGTAGCGATAAATCGATTGTTATCCCCTGCAAGGATCTGAAGTTAAATTGTTAAATTTTACTAATTAGTACTAAAAATTACAAATTACGAAAGGAAATAGGTATCGTTTACTTCCGGCAATCGGCTGGAAAAGGAATGGTCTTTTTTAGACGAGCAAATAACTTACATAATAATAATATGGAATATGAACAATGGAAAACAACTATGCGAACATTAGGTCATTGCAGAATGAAGATTTTGCAGGAAATTTGTCTTATCCTCGGTGTTGAAAGTGAAAAGCAAAGTTGAAAGTCACTAGGAATAAATACTTCACAGTTTTAAATGTTATCTATGGGGAATTTTTTTTTCGTTTCTCGAATCCTATCATCAAATATGCAGTAACAAATGCGTCACTATCCTCATTGTTTGTATACATTTTATTCTATGCCAAAATTCGATCATTCAAATGATGTGCAGAATTTTCTTTGAATATTGTTCCATAGTCTCCGTATATATTTCATAGTGGCCGCGTGCTGAAAGTGATCGGTCAGAATTTCTCCTAAAAAAACGAGAAAACTTAAAAATAATCCAACCACGAGACTGATGAATGCCGATTGTAAATCGTTTAGATCGAAGGCATGTGGTTCCTTCCCGTACATTACCGTGCGCTCTGCAAACCGTGCTTCATCAAGGTTAAAACCTTTTAAAATACGTCCGAAATGCCCACTTTCGAGTAATTGAGCCGTAAGCTCACTCCATTTTTCAAAGTAGAAAGAACCCTTCATAAAGATTTCTAACGAAGGATACCTCAATAGACATTCTTCTACCAGATGATAATCGAACGATTCATTTAGTGGGTAATGTTGGATGCAAAGATTATCTTTCGGCACAGATGAGAAAGGTACAAGCACTATAAAAGCATCCGTCTCTGCCATGGAACGTATATTTTTGGCAGAAAGTTCAATCGAATCAGCAAGGGCATTACTAATAATCCAAAGACCACTTTCATTGTCAAA